TGAAGAATCAGAGCCTCACCAGCCATGAACCTCAGAAGCTTATATATAGACATCTAAGTTTTGTGTGCCCCACCACTTTTGTACATATAAAAACGCCACTGAGTATAGGCTACCAGAAACATGTAAATAGCCTACAGTAACGAATAGGCCTATTTGTAGGCTACTCCACTACTTCCCACCTCTGGTTAATAACTAATAATATTAACTAATATTTGGTCAAAAGCAGATCGTGACATCTGTCAGTTTTACAGTTAAGTCAGCATGTATTTTATTCCTCTGATTAACGTTTTTTTAAATAACCTAGGATTTGTGTTTTGTACTTGTTTAGAGAAATAAATACTAATGTCCGCCGCATCTGCACTTAGCTTCCAGGTGTCCGACAAAACTACGAGGAAACCTGAACTCATTGACACCTCCTTTGTTGCAGTGTGTTGTCCGCACAGACGCGTTACGGCTCTCTGTGCGTGCCCTGGCTGTGGGGGGGAGAATGGCTGTGGGGGGGAGAATGGCTGTGGGGGGGCAACGCTACGGTGACCACGGCTCTCAGGTCTCGTCTTGGTATTTGGCAGTAGCAGCCAAGCAGGCAGAAGACATTTCTTAGAGGAACGTTTTTAACACTCATTGTCCTGTGAGGATTACAAATATTTCAGAGATATGACTGACATACTTCGGCTGGTGTCAAAAATGGACGGACAGACTTTATCTACTCTCTCCCAGCACTCTGAAAAAGGTTGGAAAATATGTAGACTTTATTTATGTTTACCATTAAAATGTTCATAATGTTTATATTCTCCACACAACTGCTAATAAAGTGTGCATGAGTCTCCATGTTGCAATATCACCAAATATAGGCTAATGTCTTTTTTCTTCAGATATTAACTGTATTTGGGGTGATGTTTCTGCCTACATTGAACGTCATATGGCCTTACAGAAGGTTAGCCTCTATTTATCTATCTATCTATCTATCTATCTATCTCATTGTTAAATCCATTGTAACAGGGAGTTCACCTGGCAGGACTTGGCACCTTCACCTTCTCTCAGCAGAAGTTGGACATAGGGAATAAGTTCACAATGATCCAAAGACCCATCTTCCTCCTGGCTGTCAAACTAGTCCAGTCTCTTGGTTTAAAGCAGACCAGGCCACTGGCTGCAGGTGAGACTTACAAATGGCTTCATATTTCACAGCAAACTACTCAGAAAAAAGTCCCTTCGTATATCAAATCACATATCAGGAGAATAAAAGGTATTTTTCTTTGATGCTGATATCAAATATTGCAAACATCACACACCTATCTGGATTTAGACACATTTGAATCAGAGGATAGTTTGTGGTTTGTCAATTAAATCTGTCAATTAAATGACAATTAAATCTGATCGAACTGCATGAACACAGCCCTGATAAAGCACTGATGAGATTATTTTCTGACTATATGTTTTTTACTTGTGTGTCCCTTACAGCAACACATCTACCAGTGGTGCAACTGAACTTTGCAGCTGTGTCACAAGAGACTCCTTTCAGTCGAGACATGGTGGAGAGCTGCGTTAGAGAAACTCTTCTTCTCCTCTTCAGATTGTTGGCCTCTGAAAAAAACATATTCCTCACTTTCCAGGGAATTGGAGTTTTGTCCTTCAGGAACAACAAGGTGGCTCACCTCCTCACATTATATTGTACTCGTAACTGGTAACATAACTACTGCTTTTCTGTTGAATGTAATCTCATCTAATTTTATTCAAAGGTGAGAATGAAGTTCAACAGAGATTTTATTAATGCCATGGATGGAACTGGTCGGCTGCTGTTAGCCTTTGACAATGTGAGTTTAAAAAAGTGCAAGTGTTTGAATGATACTGTATATAATGAATTAGTATCGATGCAGATTATCTGTACTTTTGTCCCTGCAGAGACCTGGAAGCAGTGTCTCTTTACTGTCCGGTGGCCTGTCTAGGCTCCAGATGCCACAGTCTGCCAACCCCGTCACCATGCCAACCGTCTGCTCTCCTGAGCCAGAGAAAAGGGCTGCTGACAAAGCTCAAGACCAAAGGAATGCAGGAGGTGAAAGATGTTTTTCCACAAACCTGATCATTTAGGATTTGATAGCTCTAAAATAAGTATTGATTCAAATTCAAGCATTTTATCAACTTGCTGCAAAGGAAACCTTCATTTATTTAGCTGTTTGGAGGAGTAGTTTTGGTAATTTGGGAAATGAATACTTATTTGATTTCTTGAGGAAATGGTAGATGACTATCTGTTTGATAATAAACTACAGTTAATGGTCTATTACTGTACCTGTAGTTTAGCACAAAGACTGAAGGAGAGGGGAACAGTAAGCTTGCGTTTGGTTTGTTTGGCTTACTGAAACCCTTCTCTTTCAACATAATTAATAGGGGGCATCAGGGGTTGAGATGCAGCTTATTGATGATGATAGATTTAGAGCCATAAGAAGAACAATATGACTTAGAAAAAGTGAAATTACTAGTGTTGTGTGTCTCTACAGAAGTTCCCCAACAGGGAGAATCTAAATCCCATCAGCCACTGCAGCCTGCCAAGATGAAAGCTGTCAGCCTGCCTGAAGAACTGAATACACAACCCCCCATGGAGGCCACAGACAAGTAAAACACACACAATGATTCAGACGGACAGGCACACACACACTCTATGGAGAGGTTCAGCTTGCAGTGCACAGAGCTGTTCGCTGGTGGTTGAGTCTCTGGTAGCTGGGACCTCAGGGGTGGTCTCATATTGTTACTGACCTATGCAGCTTCAAGCTCCATCAATGATGCACAACTATCTGTGGGCCAGGTTCCTCTTCTGTCATTACCTAATTGCACTGTCAGCACTTATACACTCACACAAAACACACATGGCACAGAGTGATACTAAGATCCTCCCTATAATTTCAATTGAATCCCCTGTTCCTTTCTTCTCTTGTGGCAAGTGCACTGAGACTCTCCGTACATATATATTCATCTGCATTTAAAAAATATAACTATATATATATTATTATTCCTCTGGATTGTGAGAAACAGCATTTCGATCTCCCTGTCTGTATCACACACAGAAGATTGACAATAAAGTTGACTTTTTGACTTATGACCAACAAGTGTCAGCTGATTTGATTACTAATCCTTATTCTGCTATGATATCCTAAGAAACAGTTAGAGCCCCTTTACAACTCAAACACATGTCCATGGTGTTCCCATGAAAAACTAAAGTATTTAATACTGTTTTAATATTTAAATGTCACACAATTGTAACATAATACACTAATAAAGTGACACCAATCTGCACATGAAAGAGAGCCGTTCTCTTTGATGAAACATACAAAGTGGTAAATAATCTGTTTCCAATCTCAGGCCCACCGTCTCCATCACACCACGAGATGTCGCTCACAAACTAGAGGACCCTGGTGTGACTGGTAACTGCTTTGGACACGCTCGTGCTGGACAGGTGTGTGTTAGGCCTCATGTATATGTAGAAGTCTTCAGTAAGTAATTTGGCTTTTATAGAGGTCCTTTATATTTAAGAGGTGGGTTCACTTTCTTGGTCACTGGACTAAGACTAAATAAATGACTTATTATTTATAGGGAATTATGTTTTTTTGATGTGACCCTTTCAGTATGATATTGCCTTGGTTTAACCCCCACTTGAACCCAGTGTGTGTTCCAACAGGCTTATGGTGCAACACACACTGAGACCACGAACAGGAAAAGCAGTTTAGGGAAGGGAGGGAGGGAGTTATTCAAAATAACTAAGAAAGCACAGTTCAACAATACAATGCCAGATGTAAACCGTTATTGCTTTTATGGGAGCTCAGGTCCGAGTGCAGGGAGCTGAAGGGATGTCCATAAATATATAATTTATAGCAAAAGCCTGAGAGGAAAATAACTTTTTGCATTACAGATTCAAGTGTTTAATTGTAAGAACTGTCTTGTAATCGTAGGAGCTGTGCTACCTGTGCATGCAGCGGGCCCAAAGAAATGTTCCAGTGTACCTGAGGGAGCAGCAGCAGGCCGAAGAGAAAGATCAGGAGAAGCTCTTACTGCTGAAAGAACAACAGAGAGACAGGCAGCACATGCACCAAGAACAGGTGTGTGTGTGTAACAGCTGTAATCGTAACAGTAAAGACATCATTTGAAAAATTCCTGAGAAAATACCATGTCATGTTCTCTGCTGTGAGTTACTGGATGTGACTCATACAGTAAGTGTTTTGCTTTTGGGTTCCGGTTAAGAAAGGGTACAGAAAACAACCGACTGAGGAAATAGAAACAGAAGTCAAACCATTATGTCAAGAGAAAGTAAAAGTAGCAATAAGAAAAACATCAATAAAACAAATCTTAACAACTGAGGATTTAAGGGTGGTTCCAGACTGGTTGGGGCCAGAGAGCTGAGAACAGCACTGGGAGAGGTGTGGGAAATGTGGGATATTACAACTCAAAATTAAACAACTTGAAGTTCAACTTGTGCATGTTGTTTCTGCCAATACTATTTTATGGTTAATTAAAACTGCCCTCCGTGGTGAATATATGTCCTTCTCTCAATGTCTTTTCTCTTTCAGTCAACATGATAATACAAGGGGTGTCTTTGTGTGTGCATCTGGCAGGAGAAGCTGAATGAGCAACGTGAGCATGCAAAGCAGGTTGCTACATTGAACATGCAAATGTCTGAAAAGAAAGAGAAGCATTTCTGTCCTCTCTTCCCTGTGAGTATAACCTGAACACTTGAGACTCAGCCCCTGTAGCCAACACTTGTGGAGCTAGTTTGTACTACAAAGTAACGCAGAGGAGCAACTGTTGTATCTGTTCACAGTTAAGTAATCAGTCGTTGACATTTTACTGCAGCTCTGATATGAAAGTGAACAGTAAACCACAGACACTGTCAACTTCCTGTGGACTTCATCAAGGCAGTTTCATTTCTGAATGATTTAATAGTTATTTTAGTAAATTAATCTGACCATATTTGTAGCACACAGGATTCAAGTTTATAAATATCTCAAAGATGTTACCTTATTATTACTCTGGGATGCTTGTGTTCAGACTTCATTCGTCTTCCCGACACGGCCCTTCACTCCGGCGCCGAGGATCCAGCAGCATCGCTACATGAACGAGCTTCAGGGTCAGATAGAGACTCGCCAGCAACAGGAGGCCCGAGATCAGCAGAACCGTCTTCTCCTGGAACATCTGGATCAGGTCCAGCTGGTCCAGGAGTGAGTCTGTTACAGCAGTAATGCTCTGGCATTTCCAGTAACCCTCTGTTGGTAGAGAGAGACATCTGGTTAAATGTGTTTACAACTGCAGGTGAGTCAACAGTCTGCTCAGCTACAGCACAAATTACGAGAGCTGTGTGTGTGTGTGTGTGTGTGTGTGTGTGTGTGTGTGTGTGTGTGTGTGTGTGTGTGTGTGTGTGTGTGTGTGTGTGTGTGTGTGTGTGTGTGTGTGTGTGTGTGTGTGTGTGTGTGTGTGTTTTAGGATGGCTTCGCAGAAGGCTCAGCAGCTTCAGCGGAAACATGAGAGAACTACTATTTACAAAAGGGCCCTGGACACTCAGGCAAGAATATACTTCTCAAAGTTGAGTAGACAGAAACAATGATTTGAGTTGTGTGAAATGAACAAAAGGTTATAAATGGTCTTGAATTTCATAATGAGAGTGAAGCTGTCGCCCATCCTTTAGTTTAAATCACCGGTGCAAGCATTACATTAAACAGGATCTGTTTTTTTGGTTTGATTTGACGAGAAAGAAGAATGCATGGAATAAAATAAATATCTCTAGTTCTGAGCCAGTATAAGAATGCAAACGAAAATGATGCTTGTGTTTAGCAGGTGTTGTGTACTTTAAAGTCAGCCAACAACAACAACATTTTCACTTGGTTTTGGTTTGACCTTGTGGGCCAGAGGGGAACAGCCACCAGCCACATCTGACCCAGGAGGACCGCTGCATGGTAACGTTACAGCTGAAATTAGTCATTTGTGTCCTTTAGGTCAGAGATAGGAAGAGCACAGACCCTCCAGAGTGCCAGGCTGACAACTCCGGGTTCAACCGCTGTGAGACGGCCACCAGCAACGCAGAGGGCCGAGAGAGGGCACAGAAGGTTAAATCTGTTTCTGATTGGTGCCACAAACCTCAATCTGCAGTTGTTGCATCATGCAGATGTCCGAAATAACCAGTGATTGCTACAAATGATATCAAAGTCTCTGCATTTATTTGATTGTTTACGGTTTGTGAGAGATTACTTAAAGTAGCATATTAATGAATTGTATTATATTATTGGATTCATGGCGCAGCTGGTTTAGTTAATTGTACATGTTTTATTAGGTTAGCTTAAACAACGTTAAATGTGAACTTGCCAAATCAAGACAATATGAGATCAATTCAGTGGAATAAAAACTGCAACATTTTCTTTGTGAAATATTTAAAGGTTAAAGTATAAAATGGTAATACTCACGTAAAATACACAACCTCAAAATTGTCCCGAAGAAGGAGGGTAATTACACAATACCACTGTTTTTCTATCAATATTATAATACATCTTACTGTGGGTTTCATGTGTACATTTATCTATTACATATTGAGAATGATGTGATGTTATTCTACAAACTGGCAGCACTTCCGGATCAATTTCAGTACCGCCACTCAGCGGAAGAAGGAAGAACTGCACAACCGCCAAGAACAGCTGCAGAAAGAGCGAGAAGTTCTCAAACACAACAAAATGGAGTGAGTAAAGGAAGAGGGAAAACATGTGTGACAATGAGGAGCTCTGTGGAAACTATGGTAGACTCTTTCTCTCTCTCTCTCTGGTATGTTTCCTCTGCAGGCTAATTTTGGACCACATTGATCGCTTTGAGAAGAGGAGAGACATCAGTAAGTCACTGGGGGACGAGTGGAGTCGCAACGCAAAGCTGAAACACCAGCGAGAGGAAGAGGACAGTCGCTTCCTGAGGTGTGTTTCAGTACAAGATACCATAACCAGAAGCATTTTGATAAGTTATCTTACATACATAACTTAAAGTGGCTTGACAACATCAAATCTTTGAAAGGCAATGACAAAGTTGATTTTGAATGTATTCTACTGATGGCGATAACACCTGTCTAATTGGGATGTACTGTTCCACATAACTGACTTACCCAAAATATACATCTCCCCTTGCTTCCCTCTGTCTCCCTGTGGTCAGGTCTGCTGGTCGGCTCCTGGTAGATAAGCTTGCAGAGTACAAGTGCTGCTGCCAGTGTAAGAGGAAGACAACCAACTGCGGAGAGACAAACATCTGGAAAGACTCTCATTACCTCTCCGGCTCACAGTTCATGATCTGATGAACAGCAGCATGTGAACATCAAGACCTCACAAACCTCAACACTTGTAACTCATCATGTGACTGTTACTAAAAAATACATATTTAATTAGATTAGGTAGATAAATAATAAGTGAAGTGTGAAGCTGAAGCATACTTGGCTGTTTTGGTGTGCAGCAGTATTGTGTGTGTTATTGTGAGATGTATTCCTTCTCTTCTCCTTCATTAGTCTTGGGAGTTCATGCGTGTAATATGGTTGTTGTTGTTTTTTTGGTATTCAGTTCAGGTCAAAGATTTGTAATCATTGAACAAATAGCTAGTAAAAAATGTCCCCAAGTTGTTCAAATGCACGTCGGTAACACTGCAATATTGAGGACTAACTTTGACTGCATTAAATAAGAAAGACGTCCTGACTCTTGATGCCTCAAACAGAAGAAGCCCAATTTACAAGATTAACACCTAGCAGCTGTGATCAAATCATCTTGCAGTCAGTCACTATCACATCCTGATTGTTTTCTGCGGATTTAGTGTTTTTTGAATTATACCAGGAAATAACTAATGACTGCAGATAACTGCTCTTAGCAGGGATTCAGACCGATAACAGCCCAGCATGAGTGAAGCGATTAAATACAACCTTCTTAACATTTTCATGCATTTAACATACAAATATTTGATGTCGCATTAAATAAAAGAAACTGATTTGACCCCATTGACTACATTTTTGTGTTACTTATTTCGTTTTGTTAAATGTGAGACTATAACTGGAGACAAGTTGGGAGAATCTAATCACTATTTTGCAGCAGGAGTTTGCACAAATGTACAAGTTAGTGCGTTAAAGTAATTTGGAAACATGCTATCATATTAAGATTGCTGACGCTAAAAATGTTTTGCTCAGGCAAAGTAAAGACAATACACAGCTATTAAAATAACATGTTTTTTTGTCATTTGAAAGACTTTCACTTTATAGCATGCAGCACCCTGGCAGAGGGGGTAGAGAGACTGTCTGTCCTGTTGTTCAGTATGACTTGGAAGGGAAGCTGTGCTAGAAATAACCCTGAGAAGTGATGAGGGAAGCATACAGTATGCTGCAGTACATACAGAGGACAACACAAAGCTAGAGGGCCCCAACAGGGCCCCACATTTGTGGGGACCGTGAGGATAGAAGGAGGGAAACACAAAAAACTTCAGAAATGTGTTCCTCCATTAATCATTTTAGGGAAGTAATATGAAAGAGAAAGGGAAGTTATCAAAACAAATTAAGGATGAAATAAGGTATGTAGCAGGGAGGATGGGTTCAGGCAGTGGAGAGTTTCTAAAGATGATAAATGTGTTGAAAGACAGAACTCCTTTAATGAGCCCATGGAGGCATTTTTGAAGTTCTTTGTACCCAAACATGTGCACTATTAACACACTATTGCTGATTAATTTACTGACTGACAGACAGGTTGTGTGTATGGACAAAGGCATGTGTTGCTGTGTATACTGTATACTGCCTGGAAGTACATGCTGCATCTCAGAAGAGAGATGTGTGGTTCCGAACAGGCTCCACCCAGAAACCCACGCTCAGCCCTTCCATTTTGAACTATTTACTTTTTGACAAGATTCTGATGCAACCCTAGTTCTCGTCACAGGAGTACTTGAGAAGACCATGTTATTAAATAGATCATCCATTGCGAAATCCACACAAGAGTCAGAGCCTAATGTGCACCAAACTGCAGTTTTGAACAAATGCAGGTATGATATTCCCAAAAAAAAAGTCAAATACTCAAATATCTCTGACCCTCCTATCTCATGCAAAGTCTTGTGGTGTGCTTTAATATGCCCTTGAATTTCCCTATAATGTATGTCCTAATGCTTTGAAAACTCAAGTGGACTTGAAGAACTGTGGGAGAGTGAACATGTTAGTAATAGCATGCGATGTGCTCACTGTGAGACAGCATGAGACCAACGGCCACAAGGTGGTTTGTCATGCACATAATGACTGATGGCCAATGGAGGGAGTTATGTGAGGCTGAGCAAATGACTCTGCAATAGCAACAAGTTTCCTCATGCATTTGGCTCAAATGTGAATTGATTTTCTCTTGAGGAAATCTGTGAAATTAAGGAAACTTGTGAAACATAGTGAGTTCCCACTATGTCCCTGACTTTTCCCTCTGCCTCTGTCTTTTGTGTGTTTCCAAATAATTGCAGATCCACTGGATATCCATCCGAGTTTTGCTGGCAGGCAGATTGATGTTGGCTCTTTGACAGGAAGTGTCAGAGCTTGGTTTCAGATCCAGATGTTCCCACCCTGCCCACAGGCCATCCCACAATGACCAGAGCATAATCCCCATGCACCAAACACATCGTGAGAGCAGGCGGGCTGTGGCTTTGAACGACAACCAGTACTGTACATGATCAGTTGTTTACCCTGTGGGAGAAACTAATGGGGAATGTGTTTATCCACAGTAAGAAAACTTGGCATGCATAAAGTATGATTAGAATTCAAATTAAATCAGCAGGGGACAAAAGGGTTATTGGATATTCATGTATTTCGGACACCATTACACGGAATGTTGGGTCATGCACTGGTTCAAAATATGATACTTTAGAGCTGCATTAGTCAACATTTTCATACCAACAAATAATGGATCAAATGAATTTGCGTTTGAGAGCTGCTGCTCAAAGCAAAAAACCCTATTATAATTTTTCTGCAGGTTTTGACAGAATTCTTTGGGTTCACTCTCACGGCTCTAATTAACCTTTTCCCCTGTTTTCTGCAAAAAAGCCTTGATGAACCTACTGAACGCTGCTTGTATGGCACCACACAGCAAAGTTAGCGAGTAGCTGGCAAACAAAGTGGGAGAAAGTGCAAGTTAAAGATACTGTTATGTGAATGGTGATCTCGAAGAAGTCTTTGAAGGCCAAATCATTAAGAGCATATCCATAAACCCCACTGTAAATGTTCCTTTACTATGAGT